GTAAATCAACTGCTTCAAATCCTCAATGGAGTAAATGTCGTGGTGAGGAGGAGGCGAGATGAGACCGACGCCAGGGGTAGAGTGACGAGTGCGAGCAATGGACTTGGACACCTTGTGACCAGGAAGCTCACCACCTTCACCGGGCTTTGCGCCCTGGGCCATCTTAATCTGAAGCTCGTCAGAGTCTGCGAGGTAAGCCGAGGTGACACCGAAACGGCCAGATGCAACCTGCTTGATGGCAGATCGCATAGTATCGCCGTTGGGCAGACGCTGAGAACGCTCAGGATCCTCACCGCCCTCACCAGTGTTGGACTTGCCACCAAGTCTGTTCATGGCAACAGCCAGAGTGGAGTGAGACTCCATGGAGATGGAACCGTAAGACATTGCACCAGTACAGAAACGGCGCACAATCTCGGTCCAGGGCTCGACCTGCTCGATTGGGACGGGGGTGCAGTCCTCGAACTTGAAGTCGAGCATACCGCGGAGAGTGCAGGCCTTGATCTGCTCGTACTGGGAGCGGGAGTACGCCTCGTAGGACTTGTCGTTCTTGGTGCGGACGGCATCCTGGATGTTGGCAATGCAAGTGGGATCGTTCATGTGAGCCTCACCACCATCACGCCAGTGGTATTCTCCAGACTCGGGCAGACCGCTGATACCGACAGTGGCACGGGAGGGGAAACCACGCTCGTGGAAACGGAAAGCATCCTCAGCGATAGCCTCGAACGTAGCACCCTGGATACGAGAAGCAGTACCCTTGAAGCAGCGCTCGATGACGCTCTCGTCGAGACCAAGAGCCTCGAAAATCTGGGCACCCTTGTAGGAAGCAAGAGTCGAGATACCCATCTTGGACATGACCTTGAGAATACCGCCATCGCAGGAGTGCTTGTAATTGTGAATGAGAGCATCGTCGGAGAGCTTCTTCTTAATAAGCTTCTCGCGGTTGAGCTTGAGGATGCACTCCATGGAGAGGTAAGGGTTGATAGCATCAGCACCGTATCCGAGGAGAACACACATGTGGTGGACCTCGCGAGCCTCAGCAGTCTCAACGACGATGGCAGCCAGAGATCGCCACTTGTTGCTGACCAGGTGATGGTGAACCATACCGGAGGCAAGGAGGGCAGTGACGGGAACGCGATCCTTGGAGGTGTTACGGTCGGACAGAACAATGATGCGGTCCTTGTTCTCAATGGCAGCGGTAGTCTCGTTGCAGATGTAGTCGAGGTGGCGCAAGTAGCCCGCGGTGCCCTCGCTCTTGGGGAAGGTCAAGTCAATGACCTTGACAGTCCACTCGGGGTGGATGGTGGACATGTTCTTGATAGAGTTGAACTCGGGGATCGAGAGAATGGGGCTGGGAAGCAAGAGACGACCGCACTGAGAGCTATCCATCTCCAATAGGTTGCCCTGAGGACCGACGTAGCACTCCAGAGACATGACGATCGACTCGCGAATAGGGTCGATGGGAGGGTTGGTAACCTGAGCGAAGAGCTGACGGAAGTACTCGTACAGGAGACGGGGTGCTTGGGACAAGCATGCCAAGGGAGCATCGTTACCCATGGATCCGAGGGCTTCCTTCTCGTCCGAGGCCATAGGAGCCAGGAGCAAGCTCACCTGCTCGTGAGTGTAGCCGAAGGACAGAAGAAGAGGATCCTCTTGCAGACGGGAGGCGTCGGGCTTGGCGGCGACATCGATGGACTTGCCAACGGTCTCGAGAACCTTGGGCAGAGTGATGAGCTCCTGGTCGATCCAGGCGCGGAAGTCCTGACGGCTGGAGACAGCCTCCTTCAGCTCCTTGTCGTCGATGATGCGACCAGCGAGGGTGTCAACGAGCAGCATGCGACCGGGCTGGAGACGACCCTTCTGGATAACCTTCTCGGGCTCAACGGGAATGGTGCCGACCTCGGAAGCGCAAATGATGCGGTCGTCGTCCATGACGTAGAAGCGGCAAGGACGCAGACCGTTACGGTCGAGGTTGGCACCGCAGTAGCGTCCATCGGCAAAGGTGAAGAGAGCGGGACCATCCCAGGGCTCCATCTGGCAAGCAGCCCACTCGTAGAATGCGGCCTTCTTGGGGTCCATGTGAGTGTTGCCTTGCCAGGCCTCGGGGACCATGAGCATGACAGCCTCGGGGAGAGAAAGAACACCGTTGATGGTGAGCAGCTCCAGGACGTTGTCGAAGGCGGCAGAGTCGGAACCACCGTCCTCAACGATGGGGTAGAGACCCTCGAGCTCCTCCTTGAAGATGTCGGACTGCATGACACCCTCTCGGGCCTTCATCCAGTTCTTGTTACCGCGAAGAGTGTTAATTTCACCGTTGTGGGCAGCCCATCTCAGAGGCTGAGCACGGTCCCAGGAGGGGAAGGTGTTAGTTGAGAAACGGGAGTGGACGAGGGCGAAGTGAGCCTCGTAGTCGGCGTTGACGAGATCATAGTAGTACTGGTACACCTGGACGGGAGACAGCTGTCCCTTGTAGACAATGTTCTTGTTGGAGAGGGAGCAGAGGTAGAACCAGTTCTGGAGACCAATGGTGTGGGTGGCGCGCTTTCTGAGGACATACAGCTGTCTTTCGAAGAGTCTGTCATCAAATTGCTCGGGGTCGGTGTTTTCGGGGGCGTTGGTCGGGCCGTAGGCGGAGGTCAACACGACAAAAGGTTGCATAATGATGGGTTCACGGGACTTGGCAGCAGGACCAAGCAGAGTCGAGTCAACGGGAGGCCTTCGCCATCCCAAGACACGCAGGCCTAACGATTCGGCAATGTCTTCCAACTGCCTCTTGGACTCTTGCAAAGTCTCCTCGTCTGGCTTAAAGAACAGGTTTCCCGTGGCATATTGTCCCAGAGGCGGCAACTTAATGCCTTCCTCCTTTTCAAAGTTCTTGACAAAGAATCTATGAGGGATCGAAGTCATGACGCCAGCGCCATCACCGTCTCGTGCATCAGATCCCACAGCACCTCTGTGGGTCATGTTGCAAAGTAGGTTGCGCGCTGTGAGACTGGTTAGCTTGGCTGCTGGGCGAACATTGGGCCGAGGGGATTATTGAACTCACCATCGCTGACAATTTTGTGGCTAGGCTTGCCCTTGATGTGGCTGCGAGAGGTGTCAGTGGTTACCTGTGTAGAGTTGAGAACAATTCTCTGTCTGGTCTTCTAGACGTACCAAGCAAAGCCGACACCGCATGCGTCTTTCTCCAAGCTCGGATCGTACAATCCTCTGCGTTCGATTGTCAGTATGGACATGTTCGAATTGATAAGGCGAGGAAACATACTGCTTCACCGGCAGAGCACCCGCCCAGGAGCCATTGTTGTCCGTCTGGTACTCATAGGGAGTGTATTGCTCTTTCTCAGATTCAATATGGATTTGTCGGTCGTCGAAGTCCTCGTGCAGGCCCATGCTAGGCGAGGATTCGAGCCTGATTGCAGTGGAAGGGGCTGGTATAGGTCGACGGGGGAGGGACTATTCCAGTCGGCAGCAGTCGATCGATAGGAGCAATGGCTCTGGTACGAATCTATCACGCCCCAAAACGGGTTCAGTTAGTGACGCTGAGGGACGAATATGTGTTGGTCAAGTACGATTTTGGTTCGATGGTGGTAAAATGAGGGGGAGTAAACGCCCAATGGCCAGACACAGGGTTGCACAGAGCACAGGAGTGGTCTTGGGCCACGCAAGAGACAGAGAGAGATAAGGCGAATGGTTGACGGTGAGTTCTGAGAGTAAGAGAAGAGTGGCGAAGAGGAATCGGTGGAGGAAATTGGATGCGGGGTGCGATATCCTTCAGTTAAGCTCGGAGCTGGCGAGGGACGCACGGAGGACCAGAGGGGAAATTTCCAGAGCAGGCCAAACTCTACTCCCGAACCGGATTGCTACGTCGTCCGGAAGTGAGGGAGCATCAGGTAGACTGGGAGCAAGAGTGAGAGAGCCTGGCGGTGGTATTGACTCCCGACCCCTGTTCGCAACGACGTAAAGCCAAGAGGGTAGGACAAGCATTCCGAGCAACAATGCGCAACTGGCAGCAAGCAGCAGCACATGCCACAAGCAATGGCGGCAGAACATGGCTCTAGTAGGGGCATTGTCGGTAGCAGTGGGAGCGAGGCAAGATGAGGCGAGCAACGCTCAAACCAAGCAATCGAAGCCGAACATGGAGGGGCAGGCTAGGACAAGAGCAAGCAAGCAGCTGGCAAGCAAGACTTCAGCCGTACCCATCCAACCCAAAAGCAGCTCAGACAATGGAGGGTCAGGCAAATGCAAGCACTGCCAGATGCCAAAGGCTGTTGGGTGCTGTCTGTCGTCTTTCTTGCCGACCACAGCTGGTGATGATTGCGGTGCCAGTGTCAGGGTGCCGTTTGCCAGTGCCACTACCAGTAGCGCAGCATTGCAGAATGCGGTGCCGGCGTAGGCTGTGGTCGCAGCCAATGAGAGGTAAGCTGTTGCCAAAGCATGCGGCTAAGAATGGTGACGCCAGTAACCGGCCCCAATCTGTCGTAGAAATGGGGGAACAAGCACATGGTCGCACACGCCAGTCCCGCCCATACTAGGCCGCCACCGGCCGACAACCCCTCCAAGATTTTTTTTTTTTTGGTGTGTTGTTTTGGCTTGGGGGGTTGATAGGCGATTGCAAGCTCCATTCCCGCGGTGACCTTACATCACATCCACAGGGATTACGACCAGGGGTCGCTCGTCTGGGCCTACGGGTGTGTGGGGTCGTCTGCAGTCGTACATAGTCGCATGCCCAAGGGAAAAGGGTGCATGTGTACCGCTGTGCAGGAAAGAATGTGCGGCTGTCCCAGAGAAAGAGAGTTGGGACGGAGGACGGAGATGCCAAATTCGCTGCGAATTGATGCGCCGTCAAATGCCATCGCCGCTGCCGCTGCCGCTGCTGTTGCTCTTTTCAAAGCCATGGGTGTCGCCAATGCCGCTCTCTCGTCAGAAGTATGGCTCAGACTCGCACAGCCGTTTTCGTATGAATTGGTCTCGTCAAGTGCTGCTTTCTCGGTGTCTCGCTTGTGATGCTCGTGTCTCTGTCTGTTCGGCTCCGATTTCTCTCACATATTCAAGCTCTCTGCTTCGATTCTCGTCTCTCCTGTGTGCCTTGCTGTTGGGCTGGATTGGGCGGTTGGTGGCATTGTGTGTAAGGCAGGTGAAAGGTAGTGGGAATGGCATGGCCGTGTCTCGGGTCTTGAGACGGCGGTCCCTATGTGAGCGCACGTATATAAAACTTACCGACAGGCTTTGGGTATTGTAATGGACCGAACGTGGTCGAGATGTTTGCGCAGTGGGATCGAGAGGGTTTCTTTTCTACCGTCGTAGCACCGCGCGTGAAGAGTGGGAGGGCGGAAGAAAGAGAAAAGCAGAAAAGGTGGGAGGTGGGAGACTGGCAGCCTTTTATTAAGATTTGGTGTATTGGTCCAAGTGTGTGGGCGAAGACGGGAGAGACAGGAGTGGGTGAAGAAGGAGGAGGAGTAAACGTCCTGAGTCGGCGCTGGGCCCAAGCTGGGGGAGGGGTGGTTGGAGGGGGTATCGAGAAGAGGCTAACAAGATGGATGTGAAGAAGGCGATCGCCGGCGGCCACCCGAACGACAAGAGAACGCAAGACCAGAGGAAGCCAATGCAATCTGGATGAATAAGACGATCCTGTATGGAGACATGAAATTGGCACATAGTAGGAAAACGGGGCAATGGGTTCGGGGAGCACGAGAGCGAAGAGCGGACGAGGCGCGGAACGACAATAACACGGCAAGAAGGTCCTTTTCGGGGATACTGGCGCTTTCCTGCCAGAAACGACCGATGGGCTGGCTCAGGTTCTCACTTGCCTTGCTACTTTTTTTCACCTTGTGGCAAGCCGACCAGAGAAAGGTTCAGCCAACCAGTGGCTCTCTTGGCCAGAATGTTGATCCACCACTCAAGGTACAAGCAGACAGGCAGGCTAAAGAATACCCGTCTACTGGAGAAAATCATACGGCCCCTCCCCTGGTAATTTGCGAGGTGCAGTAGGCTCAAGTGCTGGTGTTGCATATGCGCTCTGCCTCTCTCTTTTTCTCCCCCTTCTCTGCGGCTTTCCTGTCGTGTTTCTACGTTTACTGAGAGGGGAATGGGCCGAAAAAGAGCAGTGGGGGTTTGCAGCATGCAAAGTGGGATGAAATGGGGGTACGTACCAACCCCAAATGCAAGAGCTAAGGGAAAATACCTTAGGTAGCAAGTTGCTGCAAGAGGTACTGAGATGGGATGAGGATGGGAAGGAAAGGCACGACCTCGTACCTAGGTACCGAGAAGGAGAGACGGGAAGTCATGCAAAAGGGCGGCAGGAGCAGCGGCAGCAAATGGAACGGGAGGAAAGAGCCCAAAAGAGGGGTACGTATCGGTGAGAGAGGCTCCGTGGACGGCGCGGCTGTGTCTGTGCGCTGCTGCTGTTGCTGCCTTCCTCTCGGGCGTGTCGGTCTTTCTCTCCCATCCCATACCATCCCATCAGGGTGGCCTTTTTTCTGTTCTCGACAGGTACGCTTTTTCGAAAACCAAGCAGACACGGACTGCCTAGAAGGTGTAAGACAAAACCATACTCCGTAGCATGGTGGGGTCCGAATAACTTACGCAGTACGGATCCCTTAGCAGGGCGAAGCGCGGTCCAATCAATGCATCGATCAATCCAACACGTATGTCTTCCATTGGCGGCGTCTGGCGAGAGTCTCCAAATCTCTGACTCTTCGACAGCGCACTAACAGAACGGGACCCGTGGGTTGCTTGCGGGTGCCACTCTCCGCCCCGCCTCCGGTCCATGGGGCATGCGTCGTCTTCTCTCCTGCTCCGTTTTTCGGTCCATAATCCATCTCTCTTCAGTGGGCTCGCCGCTCCTCTCCACTGGCCCCTAGTCATCCAAGTTGATGCTACCATCTCCACCATGCCACCACCCTGCTAGCCTCCTTGCCTCCCACGACATGGCCTGGGAAGCTCGCCGCTGTTCGACTGTTACCATGCAGCAAACCTTGGAAATAACCCCTTCAAGGTGGCCTGTCCACGGCTGAGCATGGCCTGAAAGTGGACCGGTCCAGCGCACCATTCTGCCCCTCCACGGCTCTGGCACGCCGCACTTCAGGCCCAGCTCGACAATCAACCGCACGGCTGTATTCACAACGCTGCTTCTGACGGGGGACCATGCTCTCGGGAAATGGAATGGAAAGCCCCCCCCCCCTTTTCCCTCCTCAGTATTACTGAGTCCTCCTAGAAACCACATGCCAGAAAACACCGCACATCGGCCAGAAGCAAGACACCATCGACACCACCTACCTGCCTCGGGAAATGGCCATTCAGAGGGATTGACGGCCAGCTCATCAATGAACGACCGCTTGTACCGTCAATCTCAGCCTTCTCAGGCCAATGTCTCGGCTTTTGATTGCTACATAGCAACAACTCCCGGCATCCCACGCTTCCCCGGAGCGCCCTCGCTCACACTTTAGTCTTCAAGATGTTCATGATCTTCCGCCACGTCAACCTCGATCGACTTTCCTAGCCGTCGGCTCACCCTTCACCCACCATCCTAATAATCGATCCACCCACTCGCTACCTCACGCTTCCTCGCCAGTCTTTCCATTGCCCCAAACCTTCGTCTCATGCTACCACCAAAGGCAATACGTGCCGCCAATCTACTTCCCCATGCGCCACCACCACCTCCTCCAGAAATCTAACTGGGTCCCTCCCACCACGGCGGACGTGCCAACGTTGCTCTGCGGGGTCCTCCCCTGACCGTTGGGTAGGTATTCCGTTACGCCGTACTACCGGCCTGGCAACGCTTCACCCCAAATCCGCAATGATACTGGCTTTTCTTTTTTCTTCATCGTTGGTCGAACGACATTGGGTTCAAAACCTCGAGGTAAGACTCCAGATTACCTAACGTACAGCCCGGCCGCCTCATCTGGGGGGGATGGATCACGACAAAAAGCGTTCCTCATCTTGCTAGGTCGATGCTGCCGACATTGTTTGAGCCAAATTGGCACTCCACAAACTTGTCCTTTGACCGACAAACACAGCTTCCATTCATTTCATTCCGTTCGGATATTCCGCCCGGACCTAGCGCGAGGAGATGCCACGCCTCGGGAGCCATATCCCATATTCCGCCTGGGAGTCTTGGCCAATGGCGGTGACCCAATTTCAGATCGATCAATTTGAAGAAGATCGGGTCAGTGTATATGACGCCGGAGGCAAGCGGAGCCTTTTGCTGTGTACATAGTCCGTGGCTTAATGGCTTTTTCTGCCCGCTGCTGGGCTTGAATACACATCAGAAAAACACAGACCGCCATGCCTTACTTTGCCCTGCGGATCAAACGCTGTGCGCATTTGTGACTTGCTTCGGATGCATTCCGAACGCCATTCAGCGCTGCGTTTGCTCTACTCGAGGCATATGGAAGATATCTCGGGTAGTCACCCGAGACGTGTACGCAGTGCTGCAGTCTACCAGACGCGACAGTGGACGGTCAACTTCTTCCGCACATCCCGGACAAGTAACGTCCTATGGTTTACTTGGCCACTCTGGCGAATCCCTTTCCGTTCAAGCGTCGCTTGCGGAATACTGTGTGTAAGAGAATTTTGACACAAAAACCCAACGCCTCGGCGAAAACCAGCAGCAGAGATGCACCCCACACACTCCATGCGGGCCAAGCAGGGGGTACCCAGTCGTTTTTCGCTCTCTCGAAACGGAGTCGTTGTCATCAACGAGCAAGCTTTGAGCTTGCACCAATCAGCGGCTTGTATTTCAAAGAAGCCCTTGGCCGAAGTCGCCTCGGATCTTGGGGCCCCTGATAAACCGCAGGATGCCCCCAAGCAATTGGACCCGGACCCTTCTTGGACATGCGCCACTCCAGCATCGATGCAAGTGATTGGGGGAGCAAGTTGGGGGAGGGGATGGTGTTGAACATCTGTTCCATTTCAAAGGCGCGCTTGCACATGCTGATGGAAGACTTACTTGTTATTACATTGCTAGCGTGCAGAACCAGCATCTGTCGACTGGGCTGGCTTCAATGTCTCGCGGCCCTGCATGCACTATCTGTCATTGCTGCACTATCAGCCGGGGCAGGTCCAAAGATGACGGTTCTTGAGATCAACCAAGCTGCGTCAAGAACTCGATGTTGCGCAGATTCCGAGCTGTTTCCGAAATCCTATCACGAATGAGAGTGGTCGGTATATCTCTTGTTTGCCTATCAGCCCTCCGATCTACGGAACTTGGTGGTGTCCACGGCCGGCTCGACGGCAGCGGCCGACGAAGGACCAGGGGGGGCATCTGGGCTGCGACCTGTATCTTTTCCTCAAGCGCCTGCGGCGGCATTGATCACGGATACCGATGGACGGACCGACTGACAAATGGAACCCCAACACAAGATCCGCTCAGCAGAAGGACGCAGCTTGACTGCGGCCTGCTCCGCGAGAGCGATGTTCCAGGCGCGACGCACGTCGCAACTGCAAACAATACGGGCTTTACTGGAAGGCTAACCAATGGCGGGCAGCACCGAGCACATGCAGACAGGGAGCGGCGCAACAGCAGAGAGACGGGATAGGAAGAACGATTCTTTGCTGTACAGAATGGCGCTCGAAAAGGTAACTAGTCACCCTCTTCTCCGGCATATCATCGACTGGCGAGTTGGGCGTCTGACTGCATTGCAGCATCGACGGTTGTTGCCCAAATCGAAAAGGGTTGCTGTCAAAAAATCGACAACTTGAAATTGGAGAAGCCGGCCAATCACAACTAGAGCCTCATCTTCAACCGTCTTATCTTGAGCCAACCAAGATGGCCGCTTGCTGCATCTGCATCTGAGCTATAGCGAGCCAGGTATGCCCCTAGTCGGCACATCCATGCCAAATGCGACCCCGCCGACCGGAGGCGTTCGAGATCTCACAGTTCCTTGCTCAGCACGACCCTGTCTGTGTACACGCACAGACATTCGTGGTCTCTTGGCTTCTAGAGCTGGAGGGGAGGGTGAGAGAAGGAGAATGAGGGGGCCATCTCCGACGGGATTCCAACGTTCAAGGTAGCCTGCTGAGAAGCGGCACAGACATGCCAGCCACATGAGAGACACCATCCGCACTCGGCGATGAACCACTTGGGAGCGACGCATGCATGGGCTACGTCACAAATGTCACCGATGTGCACAAAAAGATGCTTATTCACACACGCACGCAAGTACATACCACAGGTATTTTTTCCCCTCTCGGTTTAAAGTTTGTGAGAAAAGCTGGTCGTTCCGGGACTCACTTAGGGTTTCGCAGGTTAGCCTGTCGACCAGCACGTGTCTGCATCCTTGATCTGGATGGACAGAAACTACATACGACCTGGAAGCGGTTACGATCACCTATGCCCTCCTGGAGCAACCCTCCATCTCCGCATTTGAGCAGCAATGACGCTTCAATATTAGAGGAAGTCGTCTCATATTGGATCCATACAGTCGGCTAGAACACGGGGACGAATGAACAGCTCGGTGATTCTAGTCACAAATCAATTGTCCGGCTACACATGTCAGTGACATATCAAGCCCCATACTCGGAGCATGTTTAGCGGGCTCCTGGTCAGCAACTTGAACAACAGGAATTATAAATGTCTGGTCTGGCTTTGGAAATGGTTGCTACGCATCCATTCTTTCACGTCCTTGTGGAGTTTGTCACGACACGAAGCGAAGCTGGGTGACGGGTCCGACATGGCATCTGCCATTTACCCATAGCGCTAACCAAGCCCCCCCGAAGTCGGCTCGGCCGTTCACCCTAACTAGGGCCGGGCGGATGTAACCCCTGGCTGGCGTTCTGGGACCTATATCGGAGGCGGCCACGCCCTCAGACCCAATCCATACCAACTTGCAAGGGGGTGTCTTGCTTAGTTGCTCGGTAGCAGGTCTAGGACAGAAGCGAAAAATTAAACGGGCAGAAGAGAGAGTCCACTCGAGTCAGCCCACGGCCGCGAGGAATTCCCACAAAGCGGAAATATGGCATTTGAAACCTCCACTTGCGCAGCCAATGCCAGCAACTCCGAAGTCAGCGCTGTTCCGACTTCTCCCGACGAGACACATCAGAGCGGCGCGGGGCGAATGCGCTGGTCCCTCATTTCCCCGTCGCTATGCAAATCAATGGCAGACGAGAGTCGACGCAGAAGCGCAGAGAATGTAAAAAGATGGAAAACGAATCCAACACCCCTGCTTTTTCTTACCAAACAAAAACAGTAAGCCCCCGTGGAAACGAGGAGACGCAGGCACCTGAGGGCTGAGCCCACGCAGTTTGGATGAAACCTAGTAACCAAGGAGCGCATGTTCAACGAATTCGGTCTGAGATTGATGCGAGGCACGCCGTATGTACAGCAGTTCTGGCGGTGGGAACTGGGTCTAAGCCCCGACGGAGGGAAGAGTCATTCGGTCAAACTGGCGGAGACTCTCAATTGGGTTTGAGCATATTTTTATTTTTCAAATGCTTTACTGTTAGCCTGACGGAGGGGCATGGAAATGGCAACCTCTCAGGCACCCACACATCGCTTTGCGATGAAGCAATCGTGACTGTGTTGAAGTATGGCACACTTAAAGACATGTCGTTGAATTTGTGAGGCAGACGACCACATTTCTGCCGCCCGCAATGAAGCATCGTGACTTCTTCTTCGCAGGGATTAAGCGCGCTAGACGCGGCGCGTCTGCCAATGTGGGGTAGACCCTTACAAGTACACCCCTCGGCAAGTACGTACTATCGAATTGTTTACTCTTTGCAACCTCGCGACAAGCAACTTGCAGCGGGGTCCTGTGCCATTTGCGACGAAA